CTCAGCCCATCGGATGGTGCCACCCACATTCAGGACGGCTCATAGACTTGCGATTGAGTCTTGTAGGAAGGCAGTGATACATCTTGCTCTATACAAGAAAGCCTGCTAGCAGGCATGTCCAGCCTGCAGTCCACGGGCCTCATGCACCTAGAGACAGTTATGAATGTGGCCCCACACAAACTCTTCAACTTGCTTAAAACAGTATGATGTTTATTGGCCTTTTATTCTGTAACATGACTGGGTGTTTTTTTTTTTTTTTTTACTACTGCATGTTTTATTTTTAATTGTGGCCATATGTGTGTGGTTTTGTCCATATGAGTGCAGTACCTGAGGAAGCCAGAAGAGAGCATTGTTAGAAGTGGCCTGAGGTGGTGTTGGGAACCAAATTCTGGTTTTCTGCTTGGGCATGAGCTTTGTGGGTGCCCATGTTGTGTGATATCAAGGTAGGCGTTCGGCCACAGCTGTGCAGAGTTTTTGGAGTCAGCCTTAGAGAGTTATCATTAGTGACATTTAGGGCCATTCAGGGTGTCACACTTCTTTCTAGGGCCAGATTCTTCTAACTAGCAGTTAGGATCTTTCTGCTCCAGTTCTCCGAGGGTAAGGGAGTGGACTACCCCAGTGTTCTCTGATCCCACAATATCTAACCAACCACTGGACACTCCCATTTTTTTCCTATTTGATCAGATTCAGCTTTTCAGAGATCAGAGCTCTGTTCTCCTGGGTAACAATTCATGATGCATGCTATGTGTTATTGAAAGAGCACTGATTAAAATTGTTACACAAATATACTGGGAAGTACTCCCAGCTTCCCAGAGCTGGAAAATGGGCTTTGAACACAGTGAATATTTACTAATGAACCCCTTGCACCTCATTGCACCTCACAACTTCCTGCAGCCATTGTGGTACTCTGAGGGATTGGAGGAAGGGGGCTATACATGACTTATGTCCACCAAGGGTTAGCTGAACCAAGCTATCTTCTGCCTGTTTGTTCCGGTCTCTGATCTGATCCAGATTGCTGATGCTTTTGTTATGGTACCAGATTTTAGCCTAGGAGAAATTGCTCCTCCCTCCCAAAGCTTGCCACTGAATGGGAGTAATCAGGGCCTGCTAAGTGCTGGGCCCTTCCTGCCTGAAGCAGACGGAGGGAGGAGCCCATCAGTGTCACAAGCAGCAGCTGCTCCTGCACACTCCACCAGCCACAGCCTCTGTGGACCCATGTGGGGCTCAGAGAGGCGGAAGCGGTTTAATCTCCTTAGCTTTTTCTGTTGATAGTGCCAACTTTTAGGTTCTGTATAAAGTGTCCCTACCCTGGAAATAATCCTCCCAGCCTTCTGAATCTCACCCTTGGGTGGAGTTTGGTCTTCTGGGAAGTTTATCCTCACCATATGGTTGAGGAAAGATAAGCTGTCTGGGCTGTGAACTCGGAAAGCCGGCCATGAGGATCAGCTGCCCAGACCTTACACTGTGGCCAGAAAGCCCCCAAGGGCCCAAGTTTGAGTGTCTAAACTCAGCAGATGGCCAGAGCCTGGTGCTAATTGAGTCAGAGGTTTATATCTGAAGCATTTCATTCTGAGACCCCTTTTAAATATTTTCTGTCTTTGTCTGTCTCCATAGAGAAAGCATGGTGCCCCACTGACCTGCGCTCAGCTCTGGATGCATCCTCTGCCCGTCTTCTGTTCCCTTGCTTTACCTTTACTCCCCAGTTGTCCCAAGAACCGATCCAGGACTGGCTCATCTTTACCCTCCCAGGGTCCCCTAAGTTCCTTTTCCTATAGGTCCTTGTCTATAGTCCTTGAAGGTTTGAAACATTGTTTTCTTACTTTTTTATACTACCTTTCACTAAAATATCAATCTCCAAGGTCAGGAATCCTGTCTGCTCCTCACCTGGCTACTTAGGAGACAGGAGCGCTGAGAGACACCGGAGGGAGATGTACTTGGTGGACCCCTATGGAAGAAGAGCAGAGGGGCCGGTAACACCTCTCGGCCATGTCCGCCTTTGCAGCCCTGGCATGAGGTTTGGGTTTAAACAGAGAGCAGGAAGTATCCAAGAAGTCACAGTTAAGGAGGAGTTCCACACTCTCTTGTCTCTGCTCCGGTCTTCCCTGCATGGTGATCTGCGAAGGTGTCAGAACTGTGTGACATCTCCTTCTAGGAGACAAGTTCCCCTCGGACTGGCATCAGGCTACAGCCTGTTTCTCCTCCCAGCATGGTGTTCCTAGGGAAATCCCATGTTGGTGGTGATCAGTTTCAGAAGTCTGATAGAGGGATGGACACAGTGTTTCCTCAGAATGTCTTCATTCCTGTCACACAAGCAGCAAGTGCTGGATGAGTAACTGCTAACTTCCCTAGCTTTTCATAATGTGTGTGGGTGGGGATGGGTGCATGAGCACATGTATGTGGGCATGTACACATGTGAGAATAGATGGAGGCCAAAAAGGGGTATGGGGTCCCTCTGAGCTAGGATTAAAGGTGCTTGTGAGGTGCCTGACTTGTTCCATGGGTGGAGGGGTGTGAATTCTGGACCCCATGATTGTACATTGAGTGCTCTTGACCACTGGGTCATCCCTCAGGCCTATCCTGGTTTTTAAATCCATGATTCCAATTGGAACCAAGTAGTTAAAATCCAAGTATTATTTCCCCAGGTCATACGGGACTCAGACTACCTCACGTCCAGCATTGCCTGCTAGTGGCACACATTTCAAGACAGACCCAAAGCCTTCGATTCCCTGCCAAAATGTAAGCTATAACAGCTGCGACCATCTTACATAGTGTGCCCTAAATGAACAGCTTCTGCTGGAACCCTTCTGGGTGATCTTTGTTCCTCTCTGTGCTCTTAAGCAAAGTCTTCCAGGGGACAGCCCCAGGCCACATCTAGAATTTCCTAGTGGCATATAGACAACCATGCAGGAAACCAAATCAGCTTTACACAATGACCCCAGCCTTCATTCTTAAATGGAGTCAGCCAGCCAAAGTCACCCGACTTGGAAAACCTGCCGCTGTGCAAGGAAAACATCAGAGAACAGAACAGAGCGACCTTGGGGAAGTGTGTCTCTTAGAGACTGGAGCCAAGCTTTTGAAAAAAATTTTAATTAGATCTTCAGTGAGACTTGAGAAGATATTACACCCACAAAACCCAAAACAGCAGTCGGTGGGAAACCAGGGAACGGAAAATATCACTGGAAATAATTAAACTTGGACTGCTGAAATGAGAGAGAGTAGAAGATGAATTCAAGAAGCTAGCAGGACGGAGTGTGACACGGTAGCCTGACTGTATACGGAAGAGAAGCAGTTAAAGTGAACTCTGTAGATAAACGGTCATGAGTGGGCACCACTCAGCCATAGACCTGGAGTAGAGGAAGGTAGGGTGGCTGGGTCTCTGAGCGTGTGTTAGAAGTCCTTGGGCCCATGTGTGTTAGCTCACTCCCTGGTCAAAACAATTTGAAATTCAACAGTTCTCTTCTCTTTTGATGAAACCTTCCACTATCCCGAAAGTAAAAGAGGGCAGGAATCTGTCTCTCTTAGCCACCATGAACTCTCCCAGGTTTGTCCCCCATCTCTACCCTTGCTCCCCTATTAACATTGGTTCCACTTCAGGCCACTGGAGGCCAGGATCTTCAGTGCGAACTCGAGCCTGGAATTAGCTGGAGATGGGAGATCCCCTGGAGATGGGGGATCAGCTGGAGATGGGGTCAGCTAGAGATGGGGGTTCAGCTGGAGATGGGGTCAGCTGGAGATGGAGGATCAGCTGGAGGTGGGAGGTCTGCTGGGGGTGGGGAGTCAGCTAGAGATGGGGTCAGCTGGAGATGGAGGATCAGCTGGAGATGGGGGCCTTCTGGAGATAGGGTTCAGCTAGAGGTGGGGGAATCAGCTGGAGATGGGGGTTCCTCTGGAGATGGGGGATCAGCTGGAGATGGTGGATCAGCTGGAGATGGGGTCAGTTGGAAATAGAGGTCAGCTAGGACTGGGAGTGTAGGCTGAAGTTGTGAAATCAGGTGGAACTTTTGGGGTTAACTGAACCTAGGGTCTGCTGGAGCTGTTTGTTAGACTTGGCCATGTTCTAATCCGAGAAACAGAGACAAGGGCCATGCATCAAGGCTTCCGTGAAATTCAGATGACATGCCGCCGCGTGCTTAGAGTACTTCCTGCACAGCAAGTGGCCATCTGACGATTTAACAGGACGGGCCTTGTTTTCTTCACCTCAGTCTTAACTCTACTTCCATGAATTTTAACAGTTATATCTAAAAACACTTCAGCAATCATTAAGCTCTTGACTGTATGAGCGAGACTCCCTCAGATTGCATTCCCCATGGTCCTCCGATCTGGAGAGACAGATGGAGGTGGGGTGTTCCTATATTATATGTTGGCTACCTTCAAACTTGCAGCAATCCTTCTGCCTCAGATGTCATGGTGTATGCCACCAAGCCTGGCTCCCTATATGTAATTTTGAAGGCATATATTCTTTTTGCCTCAGCGTGCTTGAGAACTTTCTGTTGTCTGCAGGAATTCAAGTCTTGCTTCGGTGAGGCCCTCTCAGTACCCGTCTAGCTGGGTCCTTTCCTCTAGACATCCCATATACAAGTTTGCTCCCACCATTGCTGCCATCTGTCCTGTCTTACCAACTGAGCTCCATGCTTGGTTTTGTGATTCTAGTGTTCTCCTGGGGACACATTTGTTTCATGAATAAGCAAGCACAGGAAGGATGCATGCTGAGTTTATTGATGAACAGAGTTTGTGTCAGACAAGAACCAGCAGTCTTGAGACAATCTCCTGTTCTCTCTCTCTCTCTCTCTCTCTCTCTCTCTCTCTCTCTCTCTCACACACACACACACACACACACACACACACACACACACACACACAAGTGACAAGAAAGTCACCATCTGGTGCTGGGAAGGGTCAGCTTCAGGCTCTGAAAGACCCTTAGTGTGCAGATCCACACTGAGTCTGCTCATAGGAGAGACTTGAAGCCAATGGCTCTTCTGCTGTTAATTCTGCGCTTCTGTCTCATTCTGCTGGCTATTGCTCCTTCCATGATACAGTAAATAGGGCCCCTGGATGTCCCTCCTTTCCTGGTTTTGTAAATTAAATCATCCGGTCCAGCGCCTCACTCCTCTCCATGGGGGAGAAGTCAAAGCAGTGTTACACAAAGACCAAAAGAACTACCAAATGTTCCAGAGCAAGCGGAAAGATCTTGGGGTTGGGGATCTAGTGTGTGCCTAGCAAGCTGGGGGAAAGGACAGTAACAGTGGAAAGGTCAGCTTAGATAGAGCTCAAGGGGTCAAAGTGCAAGACTAGAATGCTGTGACTGTGGAGGAGGAGGGAGAGGGGCTGGAATGTGGCTCAGCTGGCAGAGTGCTTGCCTAGCCCGTGCAGAACACTGGGTTAGCTCTCCAGCACGGCATGAAACCGGGGGTGGTGGCATATGTGCGCAATCCCAGCAACTGGAAGGTGGGGGCGAGAAGACCAGAAGTTTAATGTCATCCTGAGTTCCAGGCTAACCTGGGATACATGAGAGTATTTTTCAAGAAAAGGGAGGGGGAGGGATAGAGGGAAGGGATGGACACACACATACACTCACACACACACACAGTGTGACAGAGAAACATTCCAAATGACCAATTAATATTAAAAAATCCTTACCCCATTAGTAATCATGATAATTAGAATCTTATTGAGGACAAATCAGCTCCCTCTTTATATATCTTGGGACTGGAACAGAGTGACACATTGAAAGAAGAGTTTCCCTGTCATTTTACTGAGGGTGCCATGACAGGACAGGGCACTTGGCTGTCAGCATTGTCTGTTGTGTGACAAACAGGATGGGCGTGGACATGGTGAGAAGTGCGGGGAGTCCTATAGTACCTTTTCTAAAGGCAGGGAAAACCAGTCACCTTAGACTGCTGGGTACCAGCAGCCATCCAGGCCAGTGGAGGCAGAGCCAACCAGTGAACGGGACCCCGGATGCACGGAAAGTTCAGGCACCAGCCTGCTCTCACCCTGAGCAGTCTGAGGAAGGACATGGCCAGGACCTGGCAAGATCAAGGGATGTGGGTAGGAGAGGGGACTTTCAGGAATGGAGCAGCAGGTACAGAGAGAAGGCTGAGAGGCTGTAAGACAGCTTTCGGGCTGAGGCAGAGCTGGCAAAGTGAAGGGCCACTTCCACGTTAGGGTTGCCCTGGGTGGGCTCAAACCACTTCTGCAGACACCGGCCGCTATTCCTGTGCTCAGAACTGGCCTTGAATGCGTTGCTCCAGATCTTCTCACACAGATCAGTGGGGGTGGGGAATACATCCGAGAAAGGGCGGCAGGGCGCCTGTACCGGGCAGCGGTTTTTCCCTGTAGAGGTTGAGGATGGTTTCCTGACTTCCCCTTGTCCCTTCTCTTCCATGTCACCATCTTTCATCCTCACCCAGGTTGGTGGCCCCCAAGGACCCAGTCAGTGCACTTACCCTGACTCCAGTCCCAGCCACCACGCCAGTTGGATTTGCAAGTGTAAGATGAGCTGCAGTCTTCCCACCACTCCTCACAGTCCTCCCGGCACAGCGGCACGCCCCACACCCGTTCTTCCCGCCTGTGCGGGGCCACCTGGGTGCAGGAAGAGAGGGGGGAGATACCCAATCCTTTACACGGGCCTTCTTATTATTCTTTCTCTTGTGCACGTGTGTGCATTCTGGAAGTGCAGGTGAATGTGTGTGTGTCTGAGTGGAGGCCAGAGGACAGTCTTAAGTGCTGTTATTTAGGGACCATCCATGTTGGCTTAGAGACGGTATCTCTCACTGGCCCAGAGCTCACCAAGCAGGCTAGGTTGGCTAGCTAGCAAGTCCGGGGACCCACCTGCCTCTGCCTCTGTAGTGTTGAGATCACAACAGCTCACCTCCACACCTAGTTTTTTTTATATGGGTTCTGAGGATTGAACTCGGGTCCTCATGCTCATGTGGCAAGTGCTCTACTGACAGAGCCATCTCCTAGTCCGAGGTACTTATCATCATTATTATTATTATTATTATTATTATATAAATGAGAACTGTGAAGCTGAGTGGCTATTTGTCCCGGGCTATCCGGTGTGTAAATCACACTCAGGTGCATCTCATCCGAGTGCCCACATCAGACAGTGTTCCCATGCTATCCTTCAGGGACAGAGGCAGCTCCCTCTTCATCCCTTTCCCAGGCCTCTAGCTCTGCTCTCATCCCTAGAGGGACAGCATCTCCTAGTCTTACTCGCCTAGGATGAATGGAAGGGAATTGCACGGGTCTGCCTCCTGTCTGCTCACCAGCTGGATCCAAGGCCCCAGGTTGGGGGAACACTCATGAAAGCAGATGGCCTGGATGAAGTGCTTATGACACATGGGGGTCAGCAGTCCACAGTGCATCATGCTGAAGTTAAAGAGCAAGGACTCATCCAGGTGGGCTTCCCAGCTTGTGGTGAGCGTGCAGCAGGCATTGTCCTTCCAGGGAGCGCACTGGACATGGAGGGAGAAGCAGCAGGCAGTGGTTAAGAAGCTGGGGTTGAGGGCCTTGGGCAGAGGGTGTCAGAAGGGACATCTTGAGCACCTCTGTAGAGTAGGGACTCTGGTATTTGTCAGCAAGGCCCCGAAGAACAGGAAGCACCTGACCACTGACCTCCTCCTGCTTTGTCTACCTGCCATAGAACCTGATGTCAGCTCCAGGGAGGAAATAAATCCAGTAAAGCAAACAGAAAGAAGTCTCGTGGAGAGTCAGGAACCTGGTTATGATGATGGGTAGGAGGAGCTTATAGTTGGAACGTTCCTCTTCCCATAGCCCTTAAAGGACACACATTAAGTCCTATGTCTAGCCAGGACATGTTGGCTGGAAGGCTTGCACTGACCCCTGGTGAGCCAACAGGGCTTCTGGGATCACCACATGACCTGTTTCCCAAGTGACCAGAGCAGCTCAGGAAAGTAATCCAGACTAAGGAACCAGATGATCAGGGCTGATGGAGTACAGGAACCACCTTGCCTGTATTCCTTCTCTCATAAACCTAAGAAGCCACCCCTGGGCCAGCTCTTGTCCCTGTACCTCCAAGTAGAGCTTGTCTTCTGGGCCAGGCTCTTGCTTGTGGTGCTTGGCATTCATGCAGATGTTGACTGGCTTGTCCCCCGATGAGGTAGACATGACCGTCCACAATCCCAAGAGGATCTGCCACCATTGTGCCATGACCTGCTGCAGAGAAAAGCCTGTGATAGAGGACAGCCATCCCAATCCCTCCGAAACACCAGGCACTAAAGATGGTGTAGAGGCCCCAAGGCTCCCTGAGGTCGCTGGAACATTCTGGCTGCACTTAGAGCTTTCTGAGTAGAGCAGCATTACAGAATGTCAGAGCAGGTAAAATAATATCTGGATCTGATACCTACTACCAACCTTTGCAGAGATGCAGAATCCAAACCAACAGGGCAAAGAAAAGAAAAACCAGCTCTGACGAGGCGGGCAGGTAGGGAATGGCTCCAAGACCTTCTACACTTAGATACAGCTTTGTTAACTCAGTGATGTATGGAGCTTTGATCCCAGCCCACAGCCAGTCTCGTGGCCAAGTAACCAGTCCCCACTAAGCAGGCAGATTCTCCTTGTGACCAGAGGACATGGTGGGGTGGCCAACGCAAGCCTTACCCATCAAGTGCCAAAGCTACTTCTATTCCCTAGGAAGGGCACACACCAGGCCCACAGCTCCTCAGAGTAGCTTATCCCCACCCTGTCCCTCCAACTAGAGCCTCCAACTAGAGCCTCAGAGCAGAAGCTCATTTCAACCAGCCCCGTCTTTCTCAATGCTTACCCTAAGCATCAGGCTGGGCCAGCCAGTGCCGGGAATTCTGCTGTCATGTTTCATTTCCAGTTCTCTTCTGGGGTGTATTAGCAACATGGGGGGTGGGGGTGGACAGGGAGATTCCCCTCTGCTGTAGCCAAGGAGATCCCTGCTTCAGGAATGCACCATTCAGCTCACCTACACGGGACCTCGCAGCTCCTCTGTCTGTCCCCTAGGCCTAGCGGAAACCTGCCCTAGACATAGGCAGTCTAGCCTGAGTTGAGCATCTCAGACATCCTAGGGACTGGAGACCCAGACTTTACTGAGGAATCCATTCTCAAGTCTAAACCCAAGACTCTTCTCCCCACAGCATCAACTCCAAGTTTGCAAAGGGAACAAAAATTCTCAAAAACCAGGAAGGGAAGATGGAGGGGAGACGCCAGCCCTTTGGGCATTCTTTTCTCACTCACATTCAAGGCAGGGCTCTTCCAGTGCAGGCTGAGGGCTCTCCACCCGCTGCCTTTATATCCCTCTTCAGTTCCTGCAAGACACAGGTGCAGAGGTCAGCAAGGCTCAGAGCCGAGCAGCTGCTGAGCAGTCAAGGGTTTATCTTGTGGAGAAACCAGAGATCTCTGCAGCCAGCAGCAAGTTCACTCTCAGCACTGCTTCTAACCCCTGAGAATCTGGGACTGATTGGTTTCTCTGCAGCTCTGTGATGAGAGTTGTTGGCAGGGACTGGGGAAAGAGAGGTCACGAGAAGGTCTTGGCGCAGGGGAATCCTAGCAGCTTTCCTTCTCATCTTTTGTTAGCTGAAGCTCCCTTCCTCGCCCCTGTTCTGTTCCACCTGGTACCTCTCACATCATCAGGAGCCAGCTGCAGAGCACACAGCATGAGGAGAAAGGAGGAGAACCAAGGGTTTAAGCTGCAAAGCTGAAACAAAAGCCAGCCCTAGGCACGCACAGGGACAGCATGCATTTGCACAGAGTGTGGTTTGTGACCTCGGCCCCAAAGGTCCCAATGGAGGTTTCTTTCTTATGTTCTGTCTCCAAAGGAGAAGTAGTCAATTCATTGAGTTTTATACTAAATAAATAAAATAAAAGCAAACACTTGTGTTTTCCATCGAGGAAGACAAAATGCAGTCTGTGACATTCAGCTTCCAGTCAGTATGCAAAGCATATTGGTCATGTGTGGGAGTGAGTGGGGGAGGTGATACCTGGGTACTGAGTACTGCGCATCCCCAAGGGATAATCATGGGGCTGGAGGCTAAGGCACTGGCACGCAGTCTAACTTACTGCCTGCAAGAATCCCCCAAATGAGCACGCTCTTTCAGAGGTAGGGGAAACTGAGGCTCAGAGAATGAACTGGGATCTGGACTACACTTGTTTGACTTCACAGCTAACGCTTATAGACCAGGTGAGGGGGAGACCTTCAGGACTGAGGGGTACAAACTGTCTAGGTCTCGACTCTTATTTTAAAAAGAAGTCAAATGCCACAGTCAGACCGTGTATGGATGGAAGCTGTGTGCTGGGATTTGGGGGACAGGACCGGGCAGTGTGGCCACCAATCCAACTCCCACACCCTGTCTTCAGCAGAGCTAAGTCAGACGCTGGATGGAAAGGCATTTCTTTGTATCCGTGTCCACAGTGGCGGTAGAGACAGGCACGTGTGTCCTTTTCTTCGTAGACGCCCAATGAGAAGCAAGCCTTGACAAGTAAGAGAATGGTGTTGAACGTTAAGTTCTAAATGGCTGTGCATGTGGCAAGAGCAAGAATCCAGAAATGAGTCACACAGTTATTACTGAAATGGAAAACTGGCCTTCACAGGGAGGGGACAGGGACAAGGAGGAACTGTCTAGCCACCGCCAAGACAAAGCTGTAGGAAATGAGTCGAAATTATAGCCAGCGTGGATGCAGGTGGAGGGAGGGAGGGAGGGGCAACTGCAGAGGCTGCCTTTCAAGAGAGCCATTAGCCCTGCATCTGTCCCTAGAGAAGCAGTTTGAGGTCCTTGAGCAGAGCTCATTTTGCCTTATTGTGGCTGAGCCTTCCAGAGAAATCTGTTTCTGACTGAAGGCTGCTAAATCGGGGCTGGCTGTGGATGGAGCCACCCGAAAGCAGCTGAAAACAACAACAGAACGATGAAATGGCAAGGGGAAGAGGCGAGGTGGGCTCAGGCTATTCTGAAGAGTGTGGGGAGGGGGACAGTGGATGGAGTGACCTGAAGTCTCTCTCCTCTGGGGTCTCAAGGAATGCTGGATGGTGATGGCTGTCCTGTCCTCCCACCATTTACCAGGTCATCCCAAGCAGTGAGTTTGAAGACAGACAGAAAAGCTAGAATGCCCCAGGGGACTCGGAAGTCAGAGACAGCAGCAAGGACTGTCGGCAGCTCAGGGTTCTAACTCTCGAGCTCGCTCCCCATCCTCTTAATAATCAAAGGTCTTTAACAAGTTTGTAACTTGGGCTGAGAGCGCCATCCAACTCTCCTTTGTCCATCCAAATGCCCTCCCGAGGACGTCTGCTTCTCCCTGCAGCCAGAGTCACACTTTGGTGCTCCAACCTGGCTCCCTTATTCCTCCAAGGCAATGTCCATGCAACAGCTAGGATGATAAACTCCATGTGGCTTTCTTACAAAACCTTCCAAATAGAAGGGAAGTTGAGAGGATTTCACAGTGAATCCTGACCTGCCACACTGATCTTACACAATCCCTTTTCCTTTGGGGGTGTTTTTGAGCCAATCATGCATCTCACTCTTGAAGAATATCAAGAACATTCCATGAGATCTCAAAGCAGGAAACTAGCGTGCTTCCGAGTAATTCAAGCACATCCCTAGTACTCTCACATTTAAAATCTTTGTATACATTAAGATAAGACTCCGAGGTGCATGGGCTGTTTTTAATCCCAATTTACTTTTCTATTCTAATCCATGGTCCTTTTTTTTTTTTTTTTTTTTTTTGGTTTTTTGAGACAGGGTTTCTCTGTAGCTTTGGTGCCTGTCCCGGAAGTAGCTCTTGTAGACCAGGCTGGCCTCGAACTCAGAGATCCGCCTGCCTCTGCTTCCCGAGTGCTGGGATTAAAGGCGTGCACCACCACCGCCCGGCTGGTCCATTTTTTTTTTATTTTAGAATTTATGATTGTGTTTGTGTGTGTTGTGAGTGGGTATGGCATGGGTGTCCCCGAATGTGTGTCCAGGTCAGGGGACAACTTTGTAAAGTTGGTTCCACCTCCACTTGGGTTTCACAGATTGAACTCAGGCTGTCAGACTCCATAACAAACGCTTGCATCCTCCGAGTCATGCTGCCAGCCCCCACATTCCAGAGCATTTGGTTATTCTAAATCCGTAACTGTCCTGCTCCAGAAAGGTGACTCTTTGGCTTATGCTCTCACTGCCCACTCAACCTCAGTGTTGGGATTTCCTCTTAGTTCTGGCTCCCAGAGGAACAGCTTGCCCCGCCCCTGCCAGCCAGGAAGCTCTGTGGTCCCAGGGACTCTCCGCTTTCCTGGGTCTTCTGTCCCCTTCTATAGTTCTGTTCTCGCAGCTGTCTTCTGCCACCATGGACACTAACCAACCTGAGCCTCCTTTACCTGTCGTCTGGACTCAGCCGGGCGGACACAGCCTGACCTAAAGTGGGCAGTCCATAAAGGCTGTCTTAGGAAAACAGCAGCAGCACTGGTTCAGACGGTTCTCTAGTTTAATATGTCCTTCCTGCCTCTCTGCTACTCTCTCCTCTCCATCCCTCTCTCCTTTTCTTCATAGTCTTTCCCCTTGGTTTAGATTGATCTCTCCTGTCTCCTCTCATCCTTTCTTCCTTCTTTTTTTTGTTTAATTCAAACTATGAGACAACTTAATTATTAATTTTTTTGCAGTACTAAGGATTGAATTGAGAGCCTTTCTCATGTTCCCACTGAGCTGTTCCCCAGCCTCCTTTTCACTTCCTCTTCCTTCCTGTCCTCCTCTGTCCCCCACTGCATTCATCACACTACTCTCTTCTCACTTCCCCTTCCTCCCCCCCTCTCCTCCTTCCCTCCCTTGCCCTCTCCTGTAATTTTCCTCCCTCGCCCCCACACTCTCATTCTCTGTTTAATGCTGGGCCTCTCATCACCACTTGAAAACGGCTGTGCTGTGCTTTAGGTCTAATCACAAACCGGAAATGAGTGTGAAGCCTACCAGGTACTGAAGAGCATCCGAGTAGAGGGACGGCAGATGGAAAATACCAGAGTTCTAATGGAAGGATAAACTGAAAATTACATACACGAGCCGCCTCTCCATTACATTCACACCCGGCTGGCTATGCTGGTTCTCCACATCTGCCATGACAGTGAGGTTTATACGGGGTTTGCAGAATCCCACCCTGGAGCTGCCTTTGACCCACAGCACTCATCTGTCCCTGAAATACCGACCTCTCCTAGCCATGCTTCTAAA